AATTATAAAATATAATATAGAGCTAAAAATAAATATATACTAATATAGGAAAAAAAATAAATTCTATTACAATACTGCATCAAATGTTAACAATGCACAATCAGGTTTATAAATCAAGCTTTTTAAAAAAGTTGCTATATAAAGAGATATTAAATATCAAGAGGATTCTAAACTGGTTTTGAGCTAACTTCACTATATTGAAACTTTAATCAGTTTCTGGTTTTAAAATTTTTTTTCTTGTATAATAAGCCTCATAATTAATTCAAGCAGATAGAACATTTGTTAATGCATGATAATTTGAATTTCAAAAAAAATTATGTCTTCTCATAATTTTAGAAATTATTTTACTTTAATAAAAAATTCAAATAATTCTACAAATGCTCTCGCTGTGTATAACTGATATATAAGAAAGTATGATGGATTAGGAATAACTCAATTAAAACCAGAATGTTGTATAGTTAATAGAGCACGTTTGTGCCACAATCATCTATCGAAATGTGAAGCCTTTCATGAAGCTAATACTAAAGAAGAAGTGCAAAGAATTTTAGCCTTACCAGTTCTGGAAGATAAAAAAAAAAAAGAAAAAAAACCAAAAATACTGATGGTACATTAAAATTTTAGATACTTATAATTTGGGTTTTCATATCATCTATATTTACATTACAATATTTAATGTAGATGAAGAATCCAAGACTAATGAGTCTGTAAATTTGCATGCTGATTCAGTTATTTCAACTGTTTCAAGCAACTCATCTGTTAATAGTCGACATTCTGCAATCACAAACTTTCTTTGTCAACCTCTTACGGTTAATGAACAATCACGGTTTGAACAATTACTTTTAAGAATGATTGTTTCTAATGCACTACCTTTTACATTTGTTAAGAACGAAGATACTATTGCAGTGTTTGAGTTTTTAGTACCAGGACTTAAATTACCTAAACGTAAAGTTATAGGTAGCAGAGTATTAATGAATAGTTCAAAATTGTTACAAGATAACATAATTAAAACTGCAAAGAATGATATGGATGAGGTGACCACAACATTTGATGGTTGGACCAATATAAGACAAGAACATATTTGGGGCATTGTTTTTATAACCATAAACGGACAATCTTTAATATGGGGCGTGCATGACATTAGCTCTGAAAGATCACAAACACAAAATGTAATCAATCATATTGAACAATTAATAACTAAAACTGAAGAGAAAAACATAAATATAAAGGCATTCATTTCAGATTCTGCTAGTGAATATGCAGCCATACGATAAATTATTATTGAATTTAATTTTTTTTTTTTTTATAGTTCATTTTATCAATAATTATTTTGTTTTTATAGTCGGCAATTATGAAGAAAGTATTCTTCAAAGGTTTTTTTGCCATGTATGGCCCACCAAATGAATTTAATATTTGGAAAGATTTTTAAAAAATCAAGTCAATATCAAAGAACGTCCAGAGAAGCAATAAGAATCATGTGTTTTTTCCACAAGTCACTCTTTTTTATGGGCAATCTTAGAGACGAACAAATGCGTATTTATAACAAACATATTGCATTAATTGTGCCCAGTAATACAAGATAGAATTCATATTATTTTTGCTTTCATTCTATTGCTAAATCCAAATCCATGCTTAAAGTATAAAATATGGTTATGTTTTGCAAATTATCATGGATTATATTTTAACTAAATCTTTTTTTTTTTTTTGTTATTAGTTTCTCTCCTCCAAGTTTAATGACCATCGTAGCAATGTAACTCGAATAGACGGTATTCCATCTGAGCCAGCTGATAATTGAACAACCCTATGCAATAATACTCGAAAACTTCCTGATGACATTGCTGATATTATAAATGACACACAGTTTTGGATCATGTTAGCCAATCTTCAAGAACTTTTATACCCTCTTTGCGGCTTTTTAAATCAGTTACAAAAAGACACAGCTCGATTATATGAAGTTCTTCATTGCTTTGGATATATAATGAAAATATTTGAATGTCAAGAAGATTTTGAATTTGGAACAAGAATGAAAGCATGTATTGAATCATGTTGGAATGAATGAGAACAACCTTTAATTATTCTTTCTTTCGCACTACACCCTGCATACAAACTTACCAAATTTAATAGCATAGTTGCTAATCTATCATGGACACATATTGGGCAATGGCTTAAATATTATTATGAGGCATGGTTTAATTGTAAATCCATGTCTATTTTAGCTGAATTAATAAAATATAAACGGAAAATTGATCCATATGATTCAGAGTCATTTAAACAATTTAAAGGAAATTTGGTGGATTTTTAGGAATCAACTAAAGGAGTAGGTCCAGAATTAGCACGAGCAGCAATTCGTGTTCATAAAATTTGCATTAACTCTGCATCCATAGAACATTTGTGGTCTTCTATGGGGTTATTACATTCTAATCGCAGAGCCTGGTTGCAGGTTTGTATATCACTTATTTATTTTATAACAATTAAGTGTTAAAAAGTATAAAAATGAAAAATTTAATACATAGCAGAAACTGTAAAAAGTTAATATAATTGTTCTATAAAATTGGAATACAACTAGCTTACAATAAAAGTTTCTTTTTTAAATACCAAATATTAAAGCAAGTTATTCCAGTTCTGATAGTGATAAAATTATTAAGATTGGTTGAAAAATCTTGAGCCATTGGCTTCATAGTTATATGATTTTTACATATTGTCAGAACTTTTAGCATCACCAATTTTTACTATTAAATTTATATCTATTAACCATGATTACTATTTAAACTAATTCTAATTGATATTTGTTATATAATATCATAGCAAAATAAAGTCTTGGCAATGAGCCAAATTCGAAGTGACATCCTTTAGTCTGTAAAATAAAAAACACAAAAGAATATGATAACCAAATTCGCAGACTACATGTTGCAGCACCTATATTGTTAGGTGATGAAAATGTTGAACAAGAATTAGTCATTACTGATTTAGATTATCAAGTAAGTGACGACAATGATGTTGAAGAAGTGACAGCTATCAGATCTCATAATCAAAAAAATCGAAGTCTTGAAGAAAATGAAGATTTAGTTGCAGAAGAGGAACAAAGGTGGGAAAACCTAATTAATGAATGGATTGAGGTTGGAGAGCGTGAGAACAAATTCAAAAACAAAGATGATGAAATTTTATTGTTAAGCGAATGGGATGCAGATTTTAGTTTAGGAGGGTGAGAAAAACATCCTGCTGATGATGAAAGGGCCAAATGGCCTTTAGATTCACTTATCGTTTCTTCTTTAGAAATGCCACTATATTTCAATTCAGAGCTTACTAATTTTTAATAAAAAAAAATATTTATTTAAAAAAAAAAACTAGTAGAATTGAATCAAAAAAAGGTGAATATAAAGCATTCAGTAATATGCTGAAATGGAAATTGAAACGATAAGTGTAAAACATTCATTAATCTACAAAAATTTAGAATATAATTAATAAGCTTATCTAGTGATGTAAGTGATGCAGATGGTCGGTTATCATTATGAATTTGAATCAGAGCTGGAAAAAACGAACACAGAGTATTTATTTACTATCAAAAAATCACCACTATGGGTAATGCTATAGTGACAAATTTGGTTAATGTATGTTATTAAAAAGGAATCGGAGATGAACATAAATTGGAAAAGGTAAAATACTTATTAACTGTTAAAATGAGCATTAATGGAATCAGAATCAAATAACACAGAACATCTATTGTTGAAAATGGAAGACCTAATGTAATTGGCATTTGGAAAAGATGAACATAAAATATTATTATTATTTTTTTTTTTTTAATCTTTGGCAGCCTTGCCGTAAACCTTTATTAAGATTCTTGTATCTATGTTACATACATTTTAACTTAAGTTACTGGTCCGACATCCTTCGGCTGCTTCTTTGAGTGCCCAGAGGCAGTCTGCCACACTGGTTGGGATATACCCGGATCCAGGAGCTGTACCAGACTAGTCAGTAAGGCCATATGTAAATGGCCTTAATTTACTATAAATAAAATTTGCGATTGAGCCAGACCATGCCTTGTGTATTTCTATTTTTTCCTCCTTTTTTTCAGTTTTCCTGGCTTCAATCATTTGACTCTTTTCTATTTTAATAGCTTTCCTTATAAAACTAGCTTCAATATCTTTTTTTGTTGGGTTTTTTATTGAATTTCTTTTCTCTTTTTTGTTCTTCCTTTCAATTCCTATTTCTTTTTCCCATAAGACGAAAGCTTCACATTGTTTTTTCCATATGTTCTCATAGAAGCAATTCCAGGCTGTATTAATTGCTGCTGACACAAACTCTTTCATTTCTTTACTTGAATGGAGTATATCTTGCAATGAATCTAGTGTCTTTTCAAGTATTAGACCTTTGATTATTCCACATCTTGTTTTGACTTTTCCTTCAGTTCGTAGATTCCAAAATACTTCTTTAAGCTGCTCTTTATTTGCTTTTGCTCTG